TGTGGCTGCTCCATCCCTGGGAGTGTTCCAGGCCAGGTTGAATGGGGCTTGGAGCAGCCTGGGCTGGTGGGAGGTGTTCCTGGCCATGGAACTGAATGATCCTTAAGGCTCCTTCCAACCCAAACCATTCCATGACTCCATGTGCTGCCACAAGTGATGCCCAGGCAGACAGCACTGCCTTGCCCTGTGACAGTGTCTCTTTACCCTGTCCTTGTCCCTCCTTTGCCAAAAACACGGATTCTCAAGCAAGAAGGACCAATGTGAGGACCATCATGGCATGGGAAAAGACCATCCCCATCCATTCTGTGATCCAACTATTCAAATCAACCCTGGACACGGTGCTGGGATGAACTACTCAAGGTGGAGATGTGGCACCTACAAACCTGACCTTCTGAGGGATTGGTTTTGGCTCTGGGACATCTCCATTGTCCAGTTATGGAGTGCTTTTCCCATTTCCCCCCTTCCCAGCAGCTGCAGTGCTGACCTGCATCCACAGGAATGCTGAGTATTAGGAAAATCAAGGAGCTTTTTGACACTTCTGGTTCCAAAGCTCCTGACTCTGCTTGAGTCAATGAAGCCATCAATAAAAATTCCCCTTCCTAGCAGAATTCCAAGGGCTGGAATCAGCCCCTCAACACTCCCTGCCAATGCCTGAGAGAGGCAGAAATAAACACATTAAATAGCCTTCTCTGAGCTCTCCCAAACACATTTTGCAAACCTAATCAAGGCAATAATCTGAGATACAATTCTTGTAGAATCTCTTTTTCCCAGACAAGCCATGTGCTCCTTTTTAATTACAGGAGCTGCAGGATTTCTCTCCCTTCCACTCTCCAATGCAATTTAGCCACTGCTGCCCTGAAGGTCAAGGGAAAATAATGAGGTTTATGCATTATTTCTTTAGAAAGGGGAAAAAAAACCCCAACCCAATCCTGTGAGTTAAAAGAAGGAAGCCTCATCCTTGCGAGGGACAAATCCATGAGGAATGGCAAAGCTCAGGGCAACTGGTCCCCACAGGAGCTCTGGGAACAGCTCTGACATGATGTTCTCCATCGCTGCCTCACACCTGAGCTACCTCAACCTGTCCCTGGTCTCTTGTCCCTCAGAGCCACAGGTGCTGCCCTGGGGATCTCTCCAAGGCCCACTCCAGCTCCAGATCTCTTCAAATGCATCCCTGACAGGCCTGGCCTTGGCAGGAAACAGCATTAATCTGTCTGACTGAGCTGTAATTAATCCCCTCAGGGTGTGTTTCCCCACACAGCAGAGCAAGCTGGGCCTCAGCATTGGCTGGAGAGGTGGAATTGCTTGGAAAGGTGGAAAATAACAGCCCATGTGGCTGCAGGGAGCAGGGTGGAAGGGGATGTTTATCCCAAGAGTGAGGAATCTCTTCCCAGCGTCAGCATCATCACCATCATCCTTCTTTCTGGGACCAGGATAACAGACCCACAGAGCAAAGAGCTTAAAGATCAGAGAATTCTGGAATCATATAGCTGGGAAAAGCTGTCTAAGATCATTGAGTCCAATCATTCCCTCATCACTGCCAGGGCCACCACTAACCATATCTTCAAGTGCCACATCCATGTGGCTGTTACATCCCCTCAGGGATGGCGACACCACCCTGAGCAGTCTGTGCCAGGGCTTGAGGCACTGAAGGTGTCACTTCCAGGTGCCACCTCATAGAACCATCAAGGTTGGAGGAGACCTCTGAGATCATCGAGTCCAACCATTAACCTGTCACTGCTGCAACCCCCAAACCCTAAACTATATCCTCCAGTGTCAGATCCAGATGCCCCATAAACACTTCCCAGGGGTGGTGACTTCACCACCTCCCTGGGCAATATGCCAGTGCTTGACCACCCTAACAGGGAAAAAACTCTTCCTAACATCTGGATCTCCCCTGTCTCAGCTCATGGCTGTTCTCTCTAGTCCTCTCCCTGCAGGCTTGGCAGGGGAGACC